TTTTGCAACTTTGCCAGAAATCAGCCTGTCCTGTAGTGCTGTTTTGCTACATTCTGTGGAGAGATTAATAGCTCTTAAAAGCAGGAGGGACTGTTATGACCGCTTAGTCTGATCTCCTGCAGAGCACAGGATGGAGAATTTCTTCTGCTTCAGGTCCACGACTTCTAGTAAAACAAGAGTGTTTCTCAGCCAGTGCAGTCAGCCCTGATTTATTCCCTCGGCTGTAGCATTTTGTCTGACCCTCCTTTCTCTCTGCCCCCCTTCCCATGCCTGCCTCTTGACTCGGGACTTGACCGCACAAGCCCAGGGTGTTTTTGCAGCCAACCTTGTAGACCATGGTATCGTTGGGCAGGCTCATTACAGCCCTTTTTGGCTAAGCTGGTAAAACATATGCTGCTCTCACTGTTTTATGTCTTAGGTGCTGAAATTCTGGACGTGTGAAAAGATTTGGTAGGACTGCTCTTACGGGGCAAAAGGTACTGGCCTCACCATGCTCTGCCTGGGGCCCCCGCACTTCTGTTCCCGGCAGACGGCCAGGAGACCAGCTGGGACGTGTCTTCGGTGCAGGTCCCAGGTGGGGGTTTAGCGTAGCGGCGTCTTTCCCACGGGCTGGGGCTGTAGCCGGAGCCTCGGTGCTTTTTATGTGGCTTTGGCCCATGGATAGCTCAGGGGGATGAAGAGCTGGAGAGGGTGGCTCTTGGGTTGCGTTGGTGGTGTCACCCACCTCATGCTAGAGCAGCTCATGAGTGGCTGAAAAGCAGTGCAAGTCTTTGAAGATGTATTTTTTTTCTCTGCCTTCATGTTTCAAAGCAGCTGAATTATGCTTGGATTATTTTCCCAACCTTTTGTTCACAGCTCTGAGAACTCATGACTTAAGGAAAGCTGAGAGTTTTACGTATTTGGGTGAGTCTGGGCAAAGAAGCTTTTGGAAGAAGGGCCAGGCTCTTAACAAGGGTTGCTGATGATTTGGGAAAACAGACAGCTTGCTCTGTAGCCCTGACAGTCTCCCTTGATGAGGTTCATCAGGCAGAGAACGGGGCAGCGTGAGACACAGACACTTCTTATGAGCAGGGAAATGGGAGACTGTGGAAAGACGCAACCCTGCAGTGCCCTGTGCTAGTAATGGCCCTCTTCAAAATGCTCCTTGTTCAGCATCACCTTGTTGAGGGTGGACAGTTTGGAAAAGGAGTGACTAATAGCACCGCAAGGCTGCTATTTTCAGAGCTTGCTGTGAAAGAACAGAAATAATTTATAAGGATTTTGAGCAACTGGATTGTGGTCCTGCTACAGGGCTGGATTATTTCTTACAGAAGGAAAAATTCCCTGTGGAAAGGAAGAGAAACTTTGTTAGCACAGGAGAGACTGGCGGACAATGTCTACCACATGCAAACACCTGCAGCCCACAACTTGCTTAAGCCAGAAAGGTCCAGGGGACGGAGCAGGAACAAGAACAACAAGGTTCGGGATCTGTTTCCGGCTCTTGCACAGGCTGGCTTGGTGACCTTGGCCAAGTCCCTTCTCTCCCTTGTGTTCCTGTTTGTAAAAGGACGAGGAGAGTCTGTGGCTTTTGTAAAATGCTCTAGGAGCAAAAATAGGCTTGTGTTGAGGACAGTGACCAGCTGCTTGAAATGAATAGAGCCTTTGTAGGGGGTGGTGTTCTTCCCCCTTATTTTAGCTCCCAGTTATTTGTGCTTTCTTAGGGGTTCGGGATGGGACAGCAGTTAAACAAATGGCAGAACCGTCTGTCTTCCATAGCTTACGTGCCATTGAGCATTATCTGCATTTTAAACCTATTGCGAGGCCTCTGTTTTGCAAAAAGAAGTCTCTGGGTTGGCAGCTACATCCCCTTTTGGCTACCGAGGCAGGAGCCAACCCCTTCCCGGCGGGACAAGGATGCACCAAAGCTGCTGTGGGATGTGCTGCTCTGCAAAGGAGACTGAAGGTCACCGAATCGTTAGCTCTGTGGCTGTTGGCAGCCACCACCGAGTGCAGTGTTCCTGCGATTAGAAACCTTTGACTCCTTTCCCGCTGGTTGGTGCTCGTGCTGACATAGGGGCTTGCTCAGCTCAGGCTTGCTGGGTCATTAGTCCATTGGCAACTGGGGTGGCTGCTTAGCTGAGGCTCCTGCAGGGATGCTGAGTGCTCAAGGGTTGTCTTGGGGTGTTCGAGGACAAAACCAAACAAAAGCCCTGACAAAACAACCCCTGGTTGGCTAGATCAAAACAAAGGAGTAAGGCCCAAAACCTGCTTGGAAAATAACATTCTGCCTCCCTCCATTTGCTCTGTGGTGGAGACAAATTCTGTAGCTGTGAACGGCTTGGACCTCTACGCTCTGCCGTGCTGTTCAGCAAGGCAGGGTTCTGCCCCAGCCCTGGCTGCGTTTTGGGGATAGCTGAGATGCAGCTGGCTTTTGCTGTTCTCCTAATTATAAAGTACCAGAAAGTCATTTAGCATTATTTTCAGAAGTGTGCTTTCCTGGGGGAGAGCAAGTGTCACCAGCTGGTGGTGCTTCCCCTGAGCTCCTCTTCCATCAGCATCCAAGGGTTTGTTGGTCACAGAGAAGAATGAGAAACCTTCGTGTTGTGCCCTGCTCTCTGAGCTGCCCACTGCTCCCAGCAATCCTGCTTGCCATTGCTTTTCCAGTTCTCCAGCTGTTTGCGTGTGTGACCGTGAGCAGATCATCCCACCCCAGTGCCTCAGTTTCCCCTGCAGTGTGGGGACGCTGACACTGGTCCATTTGCAATGGGGGGATGAGAAATGCCCTTGGAGCATGGATATTAACATGTCCTCTGGCATTTCTCCTCTGCTGGCTGATCTTGTTCTTGCAGGATTCTCTGAAAGATTTTGGGTCCTGTGGAATAGTCCTAGGAAGCCTTTAAAACTAACCTTGTTTGGTTGTTCCCTAAAACCAGGAGGTCACTTGCTTGTGGGATGAGCTTAGATCGGTCCTGTCATAGACCTGCAGTTCTGTTTCCTGGTCTGGTAAATAAGAATAACTATTTTTAAGGGAACTTTGAGGATTCAGCGGTGACTGCTTAAAAGAAACCTTGCAAACACGTGCCAGGCTTTTGAAGGTCAGGACTGCTCACAGCAGCTCTGCTCAGGGATCCCCTTAGCAAAACACGAGCAGACATCTGAAATACCCGAACCCAGGCTGGTGTCATTCTCAGAGGCAGACTCTGCTGCTCTTCGTTGTGCCGCTAATCATCCCCAAGACAGCCTTTAAGGGCTGTATAATTTTAGCTGGAGTTTTGCAGGGCGGTGTTATTTACTTTGGACTCTGTCTGTGTCTCGCTGCCGTCCCTGCCTGGGCTTGGGTTCTCAGGTGAGCAGCGGCAGCCGGTTGGTATCGGTTGGGGAAAAGGGCCGTATCAAATGCTGGGAACGCTCTGCAAGTTTAATGAGGCAGGAAGGAGGCACATGCAGCCTCAGCGTGGACGCTGCTGCCTGGTTCCTCTCCTTGCATTACAGACTCAGGAGTGCTGGGGCTATTTTGGGCTCTGCTTTATCTAGCATCCGCTTCCATTTGTATTAGCGGAGACCCAAACTTGGCTCTCTTCTGCCCATCTCTAGTGCAGAACCAGCACTGTGTGGCTGAGACTGGGTTCACTGGTGCTTTATTTATTGTTTGCCCATGCGCCTTGGTGCTGCAAGTCATGTTTTTGCTGAACTTCCCCTGTGCTGCTCAGAGACGGGTGCCTGCTGGGACCTCTTTGTTCATCCCAGGACAAAGCAGTAATTCCTTAGCAAATAAAACCCAGGGTGCCACAGGGTGCCACATACGTGACTCCACGTAAAAGCAAACGCTCTGTTGTTCTACACAAGTGAAATAGTTGTGCAAGTGTCAGGCTGAGACACCAAGCATTCGGAGCAAAAGGATACCTGACCGGAGGAGCTGGAGACAAGCCCTCTCCCCTGCATCCCAGGCTCCTGTTTGGGCCATCAGACCTTTCCACCCACCTTCCTGTGCCGGTCTGTACAGGCTGCTCTGCAGTGCCTCGAGGTGCCGGCCAAGGCAAGGGCTCTTCTGGTTAGCCCCTGCTCTGCAAAACAGCCCAAAACACAGGAGAGCAAAATCATGCCGGTGTGGCTGCAAGGTCCCACTGCTGGGCAGAGCTGGGAGGAGAAGCCAGCCCTGCGTGCCGGGCTCCGGCCCCGCTGCCCCCTGGGCACATGGGGTTGGTCTTCATGGTCACCGAAAGCCTCTTTGCTTTCCAGCCTGTGCCTTCGCTGGCCTCTGGAACTGCGTCACCATCAACCCCCTGAACATTGCGGCCGGCGTGTGGATGATGTGAGCAGAGTTTCTTTCCTTTTTTCTGCTGGGAGGGAGGTTCACTTAATTAAACACCACTGGGCAACGGGCAGAGCTGCCCTGCTTGGGCAGTGGAGATGAGTGAAACGTCCATCAGGCTCCGCAGGCTCTGTGAATTGCCAGATCTTGCTCCATTGGGCGGGTTGAGACGCTGGGTTTATTCTATTTATATTCTCTCTTTACCCCTTCTAGGCAAATACTGAGATACCCTTATCCAAAATAAGCCTGGGTGACCAGGGCTTGGGAATTATCAAGAAGCGGGGAGGGAGCGCAGTGGGGTCCAGCCCCACCATTCCCTTCTGCCTGCATTTGGGCACGGGAGCGGCTGGTCTTGGGGGGCTAGGGGGCATTGCTGACCCTCGCGCTGGGCCACACGGGCAGGATTAACTCTGGTTTGCTCTATCTGGAGGCTCAACGCCTTCGTCCTGTTCCTGTGCGAAGCCCCCTTCTGCTGCCAGTTTATCGAGTTTGCGAACGCTGTCTCTGCGAGGGCGGACAAGCTGCGGCCCTGGCAGAAAGCTGCTTTCTACTGCGGGTGAGGATGCTCCTGGGGTGTGTTGTGGTGGTGAAGCCATCCTGGGAACCGCGTTGGGATGCACGTGGGCATGCCACGATGGACGAGCATCCCTGCATCCCATGGGGATCGGAGCTCGGCTTTGAGGGCTGCCTCTCTCTTCCAGGATGGCTGTGTTCCCGGTCATGCTCAGCCTGACGCTGACCACGCTCTTTGGAAATGCCATTGCATTTGCCACCGGGGTGCTTTATGGCCTGTCGGCGCTCGGCAAAAAGTAAGAGATCTGTCTGCTTGTGGAGGGGAGGGAAGGGGAAAGTGGACCTCCAGCCCTCACCCTCATCTGCCTCCCTAAGTCTGTGCTTTCCTCTTGTATGAACCATGCTTTCAGGTGTAAATGCTGCCAGAGAACATCTCCCTGCCATCATCTCAAAGCCCTGGGAAGGAATCATAGAATCATAGAATCGTTTAGGTTGGAAAAGACCTTTAAGATCATCCAGTCCAACCATTAACCTACCACATTAACCTACCAAGTCCACACTAAACCAATCAAGGGCAGACTAGACTAAAACATGTCCCGAAGTGCCACATCTCCCCTTTTTTTTGAACACTTCCAGGGATGGTGACTCCACCAC